TTTTTACCATCTATCAATATGGCTGATGCTAACCTCCAGAAGAGTGATTCACCTTCTCGTATTAACGTTTTCAGCTGACATGAAACAAAAAGTGTATCCTGAATGTCTTCAGTTAAGAAATTTGGTTCAACAAGTCGTTTTTAGACAATTTCTATATTTCTGAGATGAGGTATTATGTACACTATTTACATTAGTCGGACTATAGTCCTCATCTTTGACGCCATATTTATTACAACGTTTCTGCCGTTGTACGCTCTGGCCTTCTTCAGGTGGTTGGAATGTCGAACTGAACCCTTTATTTCACTCGCTGGAGTAGACTGTTCTAGTTCCACGTGGCATGTCTAATGGATGTCAGTTATTAGTTATCTCCTGTTAATTCCTCTCTCCAAGTTCTCCACTGCCTTAACCAGGTATTGAACTCGTAACTACTTAAGGACACATGGCACAGTGGATAAAGGCGTTGGTTAGTAGAAATGGAAGATCGCATTAAGATAATGGGGAACTTCTATGGGCAGATATGAGTATCTGTTTATATTTTGGAGATAGGTATTATGTACACTATTTACATTATTATTATTATTATTATAGGAATGTCGAACTGAACCCTCAAGGATACATGGCACAGTTGTTTAAAGGCGTTAGTTAGATCCAGTGACAGGAGTCAAAAAGTGTGAGTTCAATATCCGGTTAAGGCAGTGGAGAACTTGGAGAGGGGAATTAACAGGAGATAACTGATAACTGATATCCATTAGACATGGCACGTGGAACTAGAACAGTCTACCACAGTGAGAGAAATAAAGGGTTCAGTTCGACATTCCAACCACCTGAAGAAGGCCGGAGCGTACAACGGCCGAAACGTTGTAATAAATATGGCGACGAAGATGAAGACAATAGTCCGACTAATGTAAATAGTGTTCGACAATTTCTTTCGCCAAAATGTATCTTAAATATTTATAAGTCTTCTGTTCATCCTTGGTTTGAATATTGCTTCCGCGTTTGGATTGGTGTTCCTGCTATCTATTTAGAGATTCTTGATAAGATCCAAATAAGAATCTGCAGTGTTATCGGTCCTGAACTAGCATCTCTGCATCAGCCCTTTTCCCACTACCATAGCGTAGCTTCGCTGTGACTTTTCTATATACACTTTCATGATACCTAGACTCTATGAATTTAAGCGTAGTGCTAGATTGGTGGCTTGCAGTTGAATTGCCTAGATGTAACCGGAAGTTCTATTATAATAATTTCTTCTGTCGCACTTCTCGCTTGTGGAACCCTCTCCTGAGTTATTGGTTGCAAGTGAACTTTGATCTTCAGAAATGCATATACTATGTATCGTTATGCTCTGTCTTCTTAATTTTTGCACTTTTCTTGCCTTCGCTTCTTAATAATAGTTTCATTTATATATATATATATATATATATATATATATATATATATATATATATATCTTTTTAGCACTCAGTAACTCCGTGCATCTTATGGTTTTCATTGCCTTGCTTAGGATGGAATGATTATTAATAATAATAATTATATATATATATATATATATATATATATATATATATGTGTGTGTGTGTGTGTGTGTGGAATCTTCCGTCGTATTCGCCGTATGAGGGTCAAGCAGCTCAATTCCTAGGAAGAGACAGCCCAGACACCAGCACATATGATTCGATTAGAGTGGTGAAGGCTTTGTGCAGAACCAACCACTCTTTTTGAAGGGCCGAATGCAGAGACCTGGTGCACTACGACGCTCCGCAAGTTTGGAATTCAGAGTTGTCCTTCTCCTAGACCAGTTGCCATCCAAGGCTATAAAACACAGTCTGTCCTGCTATTTATCCATAGCTGGAGCGAGAAGAGAATTAATACCTTTACCAAGGGTGTTAGCACGTAAGTGAATGTAATTGATTCGACTGGAATTCGAGCACCTCTCTTCGATTCCTTAATCCGAACCGGTAGTCACTATTACATCCATGTAAACAGAAACAGACTATCATCACATTCTTGTCTGTGTATTGCTTAATATATTGTATTGTAATTGTCATCTTTGATAATGGCTTATGTAAGCCAAAAGCTTAGATTGGATTAAAAAAATGTATCAATATTGATTTTCTTTCTTCGTTTAATGATAATGTTATTAAGCTTTTCAGACGTTATGAAATGGAAAACACTTGTCTATATTATTTAAATGAAATGTATATATATATATATATATATATATATATATATATATTTATATATATATATATCAAACGTTATTACGATGGATAATTCTTATTATTCTATTATTTAGACGCGCATAATTTTTATTCATTAAACAGTGTGTATTACGGCTCTCTGCTTGTGCATTTTAACAGACGCTGTTTAAAAACTAAAATAAGGAGTCTATCAAATACAAAATATTCACTTTAATAGCTTTTGAAGTATTAAGAATACCAGATTAAAGATAAGTACATATAATATTATATATATATATATATATATATATATATATATATATATATATATATATATATATATAGGAAAGGTATGAATCCTCTTCCTCTCCCTCCAGCTATGGGTAAAATAGCAGGACAGACTGGGTTCTATAGCCTTGGATGGCATCTGGTCTAGGAGAAGGACAACTCTGTATTCAAAACCTGCGGAGGGTCGTTTGAGAACCTTGTGGCATTCGGTGCACCAGGTCTCTGTATTCGTCCCTTCAAAAAGTGTGGCTGGTCCTGCACGAAGCCTTCACCACTATAATCAAATCTCATGTGCCGGTGTCAGGCTGTCGGTTTCCTGGAAACTGATCTGCTTGACCCTCATACGTTGAATCTCGACGGGAGAGTCGATTATATATATATATATATATATATTGGATGGAAATGAAATTCGATGACTTTACTAAGGAAGGACCATATAAGAACAGGTTTCAGGAAGGTTGCAATTATTTTTATAAAAATTGTTGGTAGTAGGGAAGTAAAAAATCGGAAGGGAATTCCAAAGGCGAGAAATGCGAAAAAAGAAACGGTTGCATCTATCTAGTTCATTGGTAAAACGGAGAGACCTAATTGCCAATCGAGTAGCATACTTAAATTCATGTAGTTGAGGCACCAGGGAAAAATAGCCAATAGAAAAGTTGCTATGTATATATTTATAGAAAAGCCAGAAGGTAGCCTTGTTAGGTCGGAGCGAATGTGACTGAAAGCGAGATGGCACGTCAGGATCTGTTACATTACAAACCCTTCTTTTAATTTTGTCAAGAATCTCGAAATATACAACAGGAGCACCAGACCAGATATTCAATGCACAGACAAATGGTAGATTTATAATTGTACTAGATGGATTCGGGCACAAAAAAGTGAACCAAATTTCATCGCATTAGACGTAGCAATTCAAAGAATATAATCACCTTACTTCCTGTGAGTGGAAAACGTGAGTCTAATAAATCTCAAAGAGTAGTCCTACTTGAGGTTAGTATCTTACCCGCTGTCAGAGCCGGCACGAGGATCTCGTGTCCTTCATAATCGATTATATAACCTCCTCCCACACTGACTCAATCATACGCCCACCGAATCTAACGGTCAAGGGCTCCCCACTGTACTACATCTAAATATTCATAAGGCAGTATTCATATAAACAATTTTTATTGTAATTTAATTATATACAATAAAGAAACATATGCAAGATAGGTGAACAATTCAACTAGAAAGATTGTAAATATGTACAATGTTTCTACATACAAATTAAAGACATGTCATAATAGATTATTACAACTTAAACAAATCCACAATGTTCGGCAGCAAGTTTTTTTTTAATCATCTTGAGATTTTTCTTGTTAAACTTGAACAAATTTAACACATTATAAATAAAACAAGGAGTGAACTTTATAAGGTGTATTTTTTTTTATTCAAGATTTAGCATAAGCAAAACAAATTCGCGGATGTGGACGAAAAAAGGACCCCACTATGACGTGAAAATCCGAACATTTTTCATCCTTTAATAAATTCTGCTTATCTTAACATGTAACGTTTATAAATGTAGGTAGAATGAATCTAATTTTGATAAGATAGTGAGTGTCACAAAGTATTGCTCAGGACCCCCAACCAGACTTGCACCCCACCCATTGTTCCGGGAGGGTTCGAAGTTAGTAATCACCGACCCAGCTCGCCGTTAATGGGCACATTAACCTTAACAGAAATGTCAGCTATATCTGATAGATCATTTAATAGATCATCTGATAGATCATCTGATAGATCACCTGATAGATCAGCTGATAGATCGTCTGATAGATCATCTGATAGATCATTTAACAGATCAGCTGATAGATCATCTGATAGATCGTCTGATAGATCATCTGATAGATCATTTAATAGATCATCTGATAGATCGTCTGATAGATCAAGCAATATAATTTTACTCCTGTAAACAATGACACATTTAATTTTATCAAAGATTACGTTATAACTGTGCAAATGTGTGTGCATATCTTATAATTCATAATTCATGTTTATATTTTTTTGATAGGCATTCATCGGCCAAGTGTACAGTTCTGCACGCCCATTGTTAATAAAGATGTAGGCGCGTGTGTCCAAGTGCCGAAACGGGATGCATCTTTGTAAACAAAGCATTTAATTAAACACATTCCTGCTATTGAATCGATAAATGCACAGAGATCTTGAAAAGAATGTCAGAAAATATAAAAGATTGTGGGTTTAGTTTTGATTAAAATGTTACATGTCAACCTCATTCGTTATCACGAAACGGAAAAAAATACAATATTAAAGATTCTGTTATTTCGCAAAAGGACCTTATCATCATCATCATCATATATATATATATATATATATATATATATATATTGTTATATACAGGTTGTCCAAAGATGTAAGCACTCTTTAAATGACAATAAATGCAGTGTTTATTCACTTGCAAACAAGATTAATTATTAACATTAGGAGATTGTAAGACTTATTGACTAACAAAGAAGATTAATAGCTTAAATCAAATATTAAATGAAATTAAATGGGATATTTTGTGCATAGATAGATAGATAGATAGATAGATAGATAGATAGATAGATAGATAGATAGATATGAACAGACTAGGATAGATAGAATATATGAACAGACTAGGATAGATAGAATATATTCTGAGATCGATAGATAGATAGATAGATAGATAGATAGATAGATAGATAGATAGATATGAACACTGTAGGATAGAGATATATGAACAGACTAGGATAGTTAGAATATATAAACAGACAAGGATAGATAGAATATATGATGGGATAGACAGATAGACAAACAAATAGATAGATAGATAGATAGATAGATAGATAGATAGATAGATAGATAGATAGATAGATAGATAGATATGAACAGACTAAGATTCATAGATAGGAACTGATTAGGAGAGAATATATGAACAGCCTAGGATAGATAGATAGATAGATAGATAGATAGATAGATAGATAGATAGATAGATATGTTAGGATAGACAGAGATAGAGAGTGAGATCGAGAGAGAGAGAGAGAGAGAGACAGGGAAGGGAAACAGATTGATGCGGGGAAGTAAAAACCAAGATCAAGCACAAAGCATTTGGTATTCTGGTAGGCAAACGCTCTACCAATCCGGTTTTGTCATTTTCATTTCGTTTGTCTTGCATCTAATACTCCACTCCACTCTCGCAGTTTCTATTTATGAGAGAAGGAAGAGTTCATTCTGCTGTAGGAGGGTTTCCCACAATAGATTCGTTGATACGATTCGAGATTAGCGATAAAATAAAATAAAGGGTGGGAACAAAGCCAATATTAGGCGAATTTTCTAACTAAAAAAAATATATATATATATAACTTTCGACAAAATTTCAGTCTAACGCTGAAAGTTAGAGTATATGTAACTTTTCGATGTCAACTCCGATTATTGTTCTCATGTTTGTCGCTATTATCACACGTTACGGCTGTTCTATAGCCCGACTTTCTTCATAATCTCCTAATCTAGGTAACCGCCTGGAAATTTCGAACACAGACATTTCATTTAAATTACTACGTTATATTCTTCTGCTGCTGTTAATGTCTATGGATATCTCATGTTGCAACTTTTTTTTATTACTGGTCATTTATTGCTCTCCCTGTTGACTTGTGATTTCTATTTCATAACCCAGGGACTGAACTCATAATTACTAGGATCCTTTCCTCCTATTTTATGCATAAGACAGATTTTCTCAATTTAAGCCAATGAATGTCTGAAGTACGTTTTCGTCTCGCTGAAGGAAACACGTTAAGTAGAAGCCTGTTTATTTTCATTTTGTCATTCATTTCAACTCTGAACAGACTGTTCGGTTTAACTCTCTTCCTACGAGCGGGAGGAACCCGAGGGAGGCTACGCCGAAGGGCGGAGTCTCCTTCGGGGAAGTAAAACCGGCCCTGAACCCGTTTATACGGGTTCAAATGGGCTATTTTTTGGCCGAGCCTAATGGCTTGGGAATTGCCCACGTTAAAAAGGCCTTGTGCCACATGACACCCTCGTGGGGGGGGGGGCTGAATATCGTTAAGTAGAAGCCTGTTTATTTTCATTTTGTCATTCATTCATCCAATAAGCAAATTTGTAAATTCAGTGATTGACAAATTTCTTTTTTTTTCCGTGTGGATTTATAATATGATCAATACACTCAAATTTAAGTCTTAAACCAACAAAGAAAGTCATGTGCAAGATTAGCCTGGGGTTACTCCCGGCCGCCGAACGCAAATGTACGTGACCTCACACGTGTTCGATATTGTAAGCGTGGGAACGTGAACGTTGGCCAGAGGGGGCGTATAATAAACATATGGCATCCGTCCGTTTCAAGAGACCATGGATCTGCGCTGAAATTGTTATACCTCGGCTGCTTATGGCGGCGCGGCATCTATTATGGCTGTATAGGACTACACAAGAGTGACAGTCTCGTTTGCAATGAATGCATGTGAACACGTTCTGCCCCGATGTCCCCATGTTGTTTTCTTTCCTTCGGGAGCGTTTTTTTTTTTACCCGGCAGCAAACCTCCGTTTCTTCTCTCCTTCCACCAGCCATAAGTGTAAATCGCCTCTCCAGCATGGGCAATCATTGGCAACGTATTCTCACTTCTCGATCTTCTTATGCATCGCCCTCATGTGCCTTTTGCACACATCCTTCAAGTGAAAATATGATCGTTCTCGTGCCCTCATGCCGCTGGCCAGTGCCCTGGGAAAAAAAGGACACTCGGAATCTTCCCGTAAGTAGACTGTTGCTTCACGTGTTTTGCCGTCGTGGTGAGCCGAAGCTAGAATGTTCACTCCAGGTTGCATACCTGGACAGGATTTTATGAGAGATCGGCGCTTGCCATACATAATGTCTCCTCCTCTCTAAGCTATCGATGATGTCCAATGGAAAGCTAGATTCCAATACAGCTTGAAAATAAACAACCGCCCACAAATGATTTAGGCAAACTCTCACACATCACAGACGGGATGTAAGACCTAGTTGTCCGACCTGAGATCTGAAAGCCGTTTCCCGCGCACAATAAATGATGAAATATGGGAATGAATAAAATACTAAGTAATGAGAATTAAAGCCTCGTGTTATCATCGGCACAACCACTCCATTATATATGTAAGCCATATTTTCCCCCCTTTTTTTAAAAAATATGTTTTAATTTCTGATATTTCAAGGTGATATTCTCAAATAATAATAAGAAAACTGCAATAAATAAGTAGAGTGATTAAAAGTAATTCATCCAATTTCAAGTCACGCTAATCGTCCCTGCCTTGAATAGAGGGCATTAAACATTGAGTTTTTCAATCGGGGAAAATCACGTAGCGTAATGATTAGCAAGCTCGTCTCGCTAGATCAATTACGACTGTAAGTTCGATGCTCACCGGGTGTCCTATACATTCGGCCTTGTGCCACAACTAAGTTACGCTTAGAAAGCCACTATCTTCTTTTTTATGTTACTATGTTCCGCTCAGGCAATCACGGCTCTCCACAATTTCCTGTCCTTTGTAGCTCTTAATAAATTTGATCATTGTTATTTTTCCTAAACCCTGTGCTGCCATCCATTTACTTAAGCTCATCAAGAATGTTATGTGCTGTTTCCTCTGTCTCTCTTGCCCTCAGTCAATCCTGTGAGTATCAGATTTTCCAAGCTTTCCTTTTTCATTATGTGCCCCAGAAATTTCACATGTCTCTTCGTGATATTAAGTATAAGTGTCTTTTTTGTTTTCATTTTCTCTAAAACACAGGGCATCCACCAAGTCCTTCTGCTTTTACTTGAAGTAATTTCTTCATTTTTGAGGAGATTGCCCAGTACTCACTGTCATAAAGAAAGACAGATGTCATGTAACAGTTTAGTATGTGCCCTAGAAATTTCAACTGTCCCTTCGTGATATTGAGTGTCCTTTTTGTTTTCATCTCTATCTATAAAAGGCAGGATGTGTGTGTGTGTGTGTGTGTGTGCGTGTGTGTGTGTGTGTGTGTGTGTGCGTAACGAATGCACGGCCGCAATTTTCGACGGATTTGCACCAAAATTTACATGCACATGCTCCAAGTTAGCGGGAAGGCCAACACGGACTTTGCATTTCCCAACTCCCATCGATAGTGGAAATAATCGATTTTTCCATGCTTCTACGGCAGTTTTCATGTAGTTTGTGGCCAATAGCTGGCTGCCACGAATAGGCAAGAAGATTCTATTGGCCAGCTGACTGACACGAATGTTAACTAGCATGCAAAAAAAATCGATAGCTGCATTCGTCACAAGTGGGAAAAATTTAAATCTGCATGGCACTTTACTTCAATTGGCTCATTCGCTTGCTTAAACTCAACGTTGATTCTGATTCCGCAGAACTGGGTTGGGTGTGAAAAAGTATTTGTTAACATTGTTTTTTCATTCGGTTTTTCCAGTTACAAGTTCTTTTTTTAAAACTGATCGTTTTGTGTTCATTTTGTTTAGTTCTTTTTTCGTAACAGATTTAATGTTTAGTATAGAACTTAGAAAAAATTCGTAGGCTAGAATTAAGGCGTGTAGCAACATCAGCACGGCAAAGGGCACTCCTTTAAAGGCAAGGAAGGGCAAAAATATTTTAAGTCAAGTGATAGCGATTGCTGTATGAATCGTACGATTTTTGAATCAAGCACGGGCAACATCGGGCCATGCTGCTAGTTTTCTCTAAAACCCAGTCATTGCGCCCATGTTTGGTCAATTTTATCCACAGAATCCCTCTGTTCGAGCTTCAAATCATTTGTTAATCTTTGAGGAGATTCTCCAATAACAGTTGAGTACTCTTTTATTTGTTTCTAATGAAGTTTTTCTGTCTCTTAATACTACTGTTTCACACTTTCCGTCCTCCGTTAGAAATCTTCCCAGATTTTTATATACTTGTTTGATTTTTTTTTTTTTTTTGGTATCTCCGATTTGTAATTTGCATTTTGATTCCATACGTTTTGCTAACAACTATTCCTTCTGTCTTCTTACAGTTTATGTTTAATCCTTTCTTCTTGCTTTCCTTCACACTAAGCCACCATTTAGTCATTCAGTTTATCATGATCCAAGTTGTCTGACTCCACTATACGCAACTATTTCAACCCTCATTTTGGCTCAAGAAAAATGTATTTACTAAATTTAGCTAAATTTGGCACCAAGATATACTATAGGATGTGTTCCGATTAGGAGAGATCTCTCTACCAGATAGTTTGGTTTATTTTGTTTTACGGCATATCAATGTCAACGAGTTATTTAATGCCGACAAGATTTTTAGGATAGGTTCGTATGAATAGAATATAGCTTTAGATTAGATTTAATTGATGTATTTTTGTAAAGAATGCTTTTGTCGAGAATCAAATGTTTTGCTGGTAATTTCTTTTCAAAAACGTATTGCTGGTAATATTTTTTTCAAAAATTTATTATTGGTAATATATTTTTACAAAGATGTATTGTTGGCATTTTTACTATAGAATCTATTTTTATACATTCATAGTGTTTTGACCCCAGTTTGGGGGGTTAACTATTTGCCCAAAGCGGGGACCATAAAAGCTGCTACCACCACGGTTGATGTTGGGCCTGGGAACAACAGCAATTAAGATGTGGTTCAACGCTCCCCAAAACCACCCGATCACTTCTTGCTGCCGGATGTAGTTTGTCGTTATACCCAGGAAGTCTCTATAGGAATGAACTGTCCCAGAAAGCTTTCAAACAAAGCTGTAATGTTTTTTTTATTATTATTTGTGACAATATCTGAATAACGTTAGGTGCACCAATATATCTCACCTGTCATAAATCCCTTTCTCAATAACAATCTGAAAATTTATACGTGATAATTATGATTGTTCTGGCGTATTTTTCTTCTCTACTTTATTTGAATCATCCGAGTAATTTCTACATTTCTCACGCATATCAAGGAGTATTATTATAGGAAAACTCGATATAATCATACCTGAATACTTACGGTAAATGATCCAGTATTTTCGGTTAAAACTCCAACCTGACTGATTGTTGAACAACAAGATACCTTATTTTGAAACAGCAATTTTCTTGAAATTACTCGCGTCGCTTTCACTTGAAATATCTATATTCTTTGTGAAACAAAACTGAAATGCACGCTTGTGAAGCATAAAAACGTTTATTTATTTCTTATTTATTTCCCTTTTTTGTTTTTTTTTGTTTTTTTTTGTAAACAGGTCGTTGTTTTCTGCGAGAAAAGCCAATCAAGGTTTTCAGTCGGAACACGAAAAAGACATTTTAATTTCATAGGACGATTTTCTTCATGCAAAATTATCGGACATCAAAAGATGCCAGCCGGGTCTTTTCTTTGCGACGTTGCCAAGCGAATTTAACCCTTTCAAATATCTTGCTTCGATAAGTCAATGATTTTGTTTGAAATTCAGAGAAAGGAATGAGAATTTCAACTCTTCGTCTTGGCTTCGCGTAGAAGATGACAATCAGTAATGAACAATGAATTTCAAGTTTCAATGAGGAGAGTTCAAATCTCTTGTGATTTGTAATCGGT